ACACACACACACACACACACACACACACACACACACCAGCAGTACGTCCTGCACAGCGGGAGGGGAAAAAAAGGCAGCAGGGCAGCTGCAGCTGAACCAGACCGAACTTCAGTCAAACAAGACCCAACACTTTTATTCATGTTTTAAACTAGCGATCTTGAGAGCAGCTGCAGCTGTATGCTTTTATTTTTTCTGTCAGGCTGTCGGAGCGCTCCACCTCCTCTGTCCAGGGCTGGTGAGGCGGACAGAGCTCAGCCGAGGCTGCGGAAAAGCACGCCGTGTCCTGATCCACGGAGCCAACATGAGTCAGTCCCAGACTGAGCTGACTTGATCAAGTCTCTCTCTGCCTCTGGTGAGGAGGGGGGTGAAAAATCCTCCAGCTCAGACCGTTTAGAGATGTGACTATCTGCGTCATTGTGGTCACTCTCCATGTAGCATCAATTATGCTAATGCTAGCTGTCTGTCACGTTCTCTCTTCCTGGCCACACCTCTGCTCTCTAACTCCCCACCCTCGCTTACCCACACCCCATCCCCTACCCACTTTGAAGCATTTTTCAAATTTCGCCTTGGGGTGGAGTTATCTTTTCACGGTGGGGGTAAGATACACTTTAAGCTTGTAACAGCATTACTCACTATTAGTTGGTAAACTTGTTTTATTTATTTTGTTAAAAGTTGCAAACCACTCATTGATAATTTGAACCTTTGAAGTACCTTCTTTTTGTTCATATTTTTTTTATTTTGGTAACTGGCCACAATAAACAACTTTTCATCTTTAAACCAATTTCCATCTGGTTTTAATGTTACCTCCCCTATTCTTGGCTGAGTCGGGTTGTAAATGTCAAAACAAAATAAAATCAAATTTCAGAGCAATGTAGCTAGGACCTTCATCTCTAACCTGCCATCTTTTCAAAACAAACATGTTTTCTTGCCTAATAAGGACTTATTTATCACATTACTTATTTACACTCACAGATACCTAACACTGGCGCTTTCCATGGCAACAAAAACACGAATCTCCAATGTGTGACAAAATCAGCATTACAGGAGCAATCAGAACTAATTGTTCTGACAAGATGTCAAATGTTGAACAATTAGATGTGTTAAATGGGCCAATACTGACTGCTGAACAGGATAGCCATATGGATGAGCCCCGCTGAGATCTAAGATTTGGCAAAGGGCCCAGTCTTCACATATCAAGGAGGGAAACTGCAATGAATAGAGAAGGTGTGAACGGAAGTGGTGGGAGATTACAGGATGAAGCAGATATAATCTAATTCACTCTTTGAATTGAGATCTTTAGTGCTAAACTGCTGTACAGATGGCAAGGCTGAGAAACATGCCAATATGAAGACAGACACAAAGAGTCACCAGATAAGAATTACGGAGAGGGTGCTGGTTTGTGAAAACAATGAAAAATCAAACCATTGATGTTTGGTTAGACAATAAACCGATTTGATCACAAAGATATGTCCTTCATAATTATAAGTGATTAACCACATGCAGCTCTTCTGTAAGGAAGTTTAAGACTAAAACGACAGTGATATGGCTAACATTTCTGATCTTTGGACGACAGTCTCCTGAGTATTTAGCTGTGTTTCATCAAGATGTTTTCCAGTTTTTCTACTTATCTGTTACAGTTTTCTTGTAGCAGCCACAAGATAAAATAAAATTATAGTTTTAGTTGAACTAAGTTCAGACACTTTACAACAGCTGTAGTGAGAGGACCTATTGTTACGAGTGGAGGTTTGAGCTCTGAGTAATTACCGAACACTGAGAAAGGTTTAACAGATTTATTGAATAAATATGAGAATGAGCATTGGGAACTGGATACCGGGATCAGCAGATCTGGACACAAGAAGCTGAGGTTAAGTCGGATCAGATAAATTATATTATTTAGAAAAATAATATATCTCACCGAGCTTCTCTGGATGGGTTGGATCCGAGTGGAAACATCAACTGCTGAGTTTTGGTTCCGGGCGGTGTTGATGCTGCTGCGGGGTTTTCTCGTGGTCCAAAAACAAGCGGGGGTCAAACACAYGTGGTCAGAGATCGTTACCAAGTTGAATGGGACAGGCTGAGTCGAGGATCCAGGGATGGGTTCCGAGGTTGAGTTCCAGGAGATCAGAGATGGCGAGGTTCCGTTCAGGGGCGAGACGTGAGGCGATAATCCAATAAACAGAACCAGTGTTGTTACCAGGTGAGCAGAAGACAGGCAGGATCCGACAGGGGCTGAGGCAGGAGACGTGGGTCCGAAAAACAGAAACAGGGTCGTTACCAGGAGAACAGATGACAAGGAGGATCCGACAGGGACTGAGGCAGGAGACGTGGGTCCAAGAGACATGAGCAGGGTCGGGGACACAAGGCAAGAGAGGAACAAGGAACAAAATAGCTGGAAGATCATAGACAGGCTAGTGATAATCTGGCAAGGAACAGGAGACTGGAGCAGAGCTATATACTGTGGGAGGCAGGTGTCATGAATGAGCTTGATTGTGTTTTCTGTGACGGGAGGGGCAGAGGCAATGAGCAGGGCAAGACTGACAGGAGCAGGAAATGAGCATGACAAGGCAGACAGGAGCAGGATCATAACACCTATCAGGATTTATCTACTGCCGTTGTGGTCTCATGATGGACTTCAGACTTGTATAGGGTACATCCCACCATTCTCACCATGACTGCTAGACATGGAATTTCTAAACAATCTTCAGTTAATAATTCATTTTTTTTCCCCCTATTTGGGACAGTCTAGGTGGTGCACTATCCAGGATAGATAAATGAAAACACAAAAGTCAGATGCATCGGAATTGTTTTCAAAAGAAAGACAAAAGGGACTCCTGATTTTTACATGTTCATTTGAAAACAGCAGCCGTGACATACTTTGAAGTACTTATTGAAAGTTTATTGATCTGTAATATACACATTTTGCCAAAAGTATTTGCTCACCCATCCAAATGACTGAGCACCAGTGAACAAAGCAAGTCCATAAAGACATGGATGGCAGAGTCCAGTGTGGATGAAATTGACTGGCCTGTACAGAGTCCTGACCTTAACTAAAAAGAACACCTTCGGGAAGAATTAGAGCAGCGATGAAGAGCTTCTGGAAGAATGGTCAAAAATCCCCTTAAACACACTCCTAAACCTTGTGGACAGCACTTTCAAGAAGAGCTGAAGCTGATCTAGTTGCAAAGGGTGGATCAATGTCATATTGACTACTATGGATTAGGGATTAGGAATGGAATGTCACTTAAACTCATATGTGAGTCAAGGCAGGTGAGCCAATACTTCTGACAATATAGTGAAGCTCTGCATTGTTAAGCAATTTTTGTTATCCATTTATGCTAAACTCAGCTCAGCTTGTTTTTCATGAATTGCTGTGTTGCCAGAGTGACTTTGGGTTTCATTTTGAAGGACTTTTGAATCCACTGGCCTTATTTCGTTTTTGTTCTTCTCAGCCTCCACTCGTGCACACATTCACAATATTTGAACATGTAGAAGCTTGTGATGTGTCCCTCATATAGTTTCACCTCTCGGAGGACATAGACATTGTTAAACTGAGGCAGGAAATGAGTTCTGTGCCATAATATATGACACACAGGCCTCCCTGATCGCCCTGCCCTTCAAAGCTGATGGATACTAATATGTCACTGCATGAAAATGTGTCATGGAAATGGGTGTGGGGGGGGGGGGTGATACACAGGAAGACAGAAGAAAGAAATGAAGCAAAAAAAGACACATCTATTAGAAGCTCTTTAGGACACTAAATATGTCCACATTCTTTTAGTGTCTTTGTACCTGCACAGTAATAACATCCTCTACAGTCAGAAAGTGTGCGAGTGTTTGTCAACGATTGCTTTCTGGATATTCAAAGAGAAACAAAATCACTGCTTCTACATCTGATATATATTATTTCCCCTGACTTTTCAGACATTCAGCTACTATCGAAAGGAAAAGTTCTTTTTTTTCTATTTTTGTGTCTGAAGACACTTCAGGGCCCTGGGCGCAAGCACATTGTTCAGTGGAGCAAGGCATTTTGGGCTGCAAATGAAAACCAAAATCCATTCTCTAGGCTGAATTATTAACAACTCTAGTACCCATAGAGTCCCAGTGTCAATAAGAGACAGTCCGGGATGGAACAGAAACACGAAGAGACTGGAGAGAAAGAGATGAAGGTTAAAATCTGTGCAAAGGTGTCATAAATACTGTGTATGTTATTGCCACATTGGGGGGAAATATTACATGTCAATGGATTCAAAGTAAAAAGTTCAAAGGAGTGCAAAGTTTCTAAAGTCATGTTTTCAAAAAATTCCTGCTAAACATGCTTAAAAGTAAAGTGATAAATATTCTTAAAGTGAATTTTTAGACTTTACCCAAAATAACAAAGTTTATGTTCGCACTGGAGGTTTCAGTAGTCAATTCAGATTATCTGCCGGGGGGGGGGGGGGGGGGGGGGGGGGGTGACAGGGACATTCACATTATAGCATCACATTTTGCGCTGGGACTTCCATCAGACTCCTGTGTGAACTCTCTATGGCCCTGATGCGACCTGCACGGACAGAAAGTGGTGGAACGTCACATAAGCTTGCTGTTTACAGAAGTAGCTAACCATGGATGCTACATGTTAGCATGTCGATTCGAAATTTGTTGTGGAATATGAGCTGAACAAAATATTTATGCTTTTTTAGTTCACTGTCGGCCTTTGAACAGTCCTCTGATTGGCTGTTCCATGCAGCATTTTATTTTTGGAATGAGAGCAACGTGCTAAAACAAAAATTGCAATCCAGTAATTTTAGTATCGATACAGTCCAAGACAGACACTACTGTCATATATTTATGTAGATTCTCAATCATTCAGGACATGGAAAATTAAAAAGACAAAGGTGAAGCAACTGGACTTCTGTTCTGTAGATGAAGGTGTGCGGAGTTAAAACATTTAAACTGCACAATGTTAGTATCAATATTCTAAATACTTGGATCAAAAAGCCAGATGAAATTCGACACAAATGTTCAGACTGAGGTTGCTTTGAAAACATTAGATATGTATCTGATTCAGTACCACATACCGAAAAATCCTGAGTCGAATTTGAAACAATCAAATTTCTACAATTCAGACTGTCAGGAAAAAAATCTGTAATGAGCCACAAAAGTCAGATTTGTGTTGCATTTGCCTGCAGTGTGAACGAAGCCAAAGCCTGTGGCAGATGTTGGGGAAGCAGGATACTCTAATAAGAAATGGGGTCCTGGAAAAAGACAATTCTAAAATTTCATAGGAAGAAAAGAAAAGCCCTGTTGCACAGTACGTACCACCGGCAGATTAAGGAAGTGGCTAATATTAACAAATCCTACCAGTGGTTAGACAAGGCTGGACTAAAGGATGGCACAAAGGCATTAATCATAGCAGCACAAGAACAATGGAGGATGGGGTCTATCACACCGGGCAGGACCCAAAATGCAGGCTGTACGCAGATGCCTCTGAGACACTCCAGAACATAATGGTAGTAAGTAAGATGCAGGCAGGTAAAGCATGGGTTACATAGAATCTATAACAAAGTGTTTGGAATAGTACAGAAGCACCTGTGCTTAGTATGGATGGGAGGTCTCACAGTCAAAGTGGAAGACCCCATCATCAGTGGTGGAGAATAGCAGGACTAAGATACTGTGGGACTTACAGATCCATACTGACAAACAAGTGATAGATAACTAATTACATTGTGGTGGTTGACAAGCTACAGAAGAAAGTGATAGATGTGACAATTATAAGCCACAGAACCATCAGCAAAAGGAATACAATAAACTGGAGGAATATTCAAGGCTGAAATAGGAAATCGAGAAGTCGTGGGTAATAAAGGCCTCAGTGGTGCCAGTGGTCATTGGAGCACTTGGTGTTGTGACCTCCAACTAGACGAGTGGTTCCAACAGATCCAACCTCAGAGATCTCTGTCTAGAATAGTGTAGTCCTGGGAACAGCTAAGATAATTTGCAGAACCCTCAGGCCTCCAGGCATCTGGTTAAGGACCAGAGCTTCAAATGAAGTGGAACCATCCATGTGGAGGATAGGGGGAAAGAGAAAGTGGTAAGCTTACATCTGAGTAGGCATGACTTCATTCCTATAGAGACTTTTCACTGGCATTTGACTATGTCAGTGTGACTTATGATTGGGCTGAGAGTTAAGGCCAACCCACCACTGCTAGACCTTTGTGCCATGAAGCCAAGTAGTGCAGAGTAGAAATGGTTGGCTTGTGAAAGGGTAAGCCCACCTTGTGGCTTAATGACATGATGAAGGGATGTCCTGTGCGATCACACTGTTGCAGTTTTAAATTACAAATAGATGTATTAGGACGGCAGAGTGATAATGACACAGTATTTTTGCATTTAGTGAAAAGTAATGGATTAGCCACAAAGCGGAACACTGAATTCATTTGTTGTGTTTTGAGAACTACAATAGGGCTGTCATGAGTTCTGCTCGAAACCTGTTTTACTTCTGCAATGTTTGCTTGATTTTTGAAAGCTCATGTTTTCAGGACGGGATGCGGGATGATATTTTTTGTCATCACCAAAGACATGAAAAAAAGTGTTCCATTTACTAACATTTCTTTTCTTTGATTTTGTGTTGTTCCTGTCACCCTTTGTGGCTCGTTCTGATATGGGAAAAGTGTGGCGAAGCAGCACCTCTTGTCGTGCTGGCCTGCCTGGTAACAAAGCACTGGTTGGAATGGGCTGACAGGTCGTGAAAATTTCATCAGCATGAGAAATGCATGTTTTCCCCTCAGCTTTCTGTTTACTGTTATTAATAATTTGTGAACAACAAACAGCAGGTGTCTTAGCCCATAACAAAGGAACTGAGTGTGCGTCTGTGTAAAAATGGATTTGGTGCACGTCCATTTGTTTATATGCATATGCTGGAGTGTTACTTTTTCTGTGTGTGTGTGTGTGTGTGTATGTGTGTGTGTGTGTGTGTGTGCGCGCGTGCATATGAAACAGATGTTCCCAACTGCTAGAAGCAGACAAGCCTGGTCTTTGAATATTGGAGCTGTTTGTGAATTAATCAATTACCATGGAGACAGAAAGTAAGATACCAGAAGATGCACCAAAAAGAAACATCCTGAAGTTCAAAATCATAGCATTAATGAGACAATTTTGAAGGGTCCAGATGCAGATTCTGTCCAAAACTCTATCTCAAAGTTGGAAACATACTGACAATGCTAAAACTAAACTCAGCAAACATGTGGCTGTTACCAAAACAGTTTCTGAAATATTAAAAAGATCAAATGGTAGATGCTAATTGACATTAGTCAGCATAAAAATGGCTACAACTTTTACAAATTTACAGAAAAAAATTGATGTAGTTGAGAATCATTGGGAAAAGCATAATACAATATTTTGTAGTATAACAAAATGATATGTTCAAGGTTTGACTAAAGGGGCTTTGTAATTTCCTTACAAATGCCACTACACAAGGTGATCTTTGTCTGAAACACTGGTAAAGAAGGTGGTATAGAAAGTGGAAAGTACTATTATTTCTATCAGAAATTGCAATGCTTTTAGTATTAGGATTAGCTATCTTTAATGAAAGTACAAAAGGTTCAAT